TGAGCCTATCAACATATTTAACTCAATTCTGGGTAAGTGCAATGACTAAAAATGTAAAAAACCCAATACTTTGCATAACTTGGGCATCAAAACCAAGACCTTTTGATCACTTGACCCATAAAGCAGAAACAATAACCGATTCAATATTTAATATAGTAGGTATCTTCTTTACTATTAGATATTGTCTTCTTTTACATATGGGATCCTTCATATTCTGTGTTATTATTTAAAAACTTCATTACAACAGCAAGGTAACTCAATATGGTGTGCCTCCATAAGCAATAAATGTGATACATTTCACCTATATGTAAGCAGATATCAGAATACACATAATTAATAATATCCATTGCATGTATTGTATTATATTTGTAAACAGAACTGCTCTGAAATGGGATGCAAATTTACTATTACACATAACTGTACTATGATCAGAATTCTAATAGGTAAGTAGTCAACCTTTATACAGTTAATAATTAAGGTGAGAAGTATCCTCACTCAAAAATACTGCTTAGATTATTTAAATTGATAAAAAATTGTCATATTAATCAACATCAATGTCACTGTAACAGTAGTCATAAGTTAATCTAATAGGTAATTTGTGTGAATGTCAACACTAATGATAACATAAACAATTCAATAATAATACACTACTGAAATTGTATTATAAAATTACTACTATTTGTTAGTAAACAAAACCTAATAAGAAACATGTTTTTTGTTAATACAATTGTTGGCATCAGATCAAATGTGTATTTAACAGTAAAAGTTATAACCAAACACACTGTATATTACTTTCAATACATTTTATCACAGCTAACATAAATAATAGTAAACCTGGCTTTTATGTTTCGATTTAGTATTGACCTGATTTACAAATGTACTAAGAATAGTTCTATTGTTGTGCAAAGCAATATAATCAAGAAATATCAAAGAGAACTTACCTCATCTTCACCTTCTGTCTTAGTTTCATCATCTTTGGGTGATTCCTCACTCTCATCCTCCTTCTTAACAATAGGTTTGACACTAATCTCTCCCATTTCTTTCAATTTTTCTGTAATATCGAAATCCTGACTGCTGTCCTCCTGTTTCATTCCCAACAACTCTTCAGCTGTCTTCTCCGGACACAATTCACTCTCCTCCACCTCTGCTATTTCTACATTCTTATTATCTAAGTCACCATCATTAATAATGTCACTAATAGAAAGGGTTTTAGGTTGTACTTCATCCTCTCCTTGTTCCTGATCTTGCTGTTCTTGTGGCTCCTGCTCTTCTTGTTTAACCTCAGGTTCCAAACATGCCAGAGGTTCTTCCGGAGGTTTACTAGTACTTTGAGAATCTCTTTTAGCCTCAACAATGTCACCAGTTTCGGGGTCAATGTAACTTTCATTTTCTTCATTCAATTCTTGTACAGCACTAGGGTTAACTACAAATTCCTCCTCTGACAGTCCATCACTTTCTGTTTTACTGTCTTCACTTGAAAAGTCACTTAATTCTAAGATGTTATTACCAACTATGCTTCGAATTGTTATACCAGTGTCCTTTTTAAGTTTCTTTGTGAAGTCATGAAAGTTTTTAACAGCTTCCATCTTCCGTTTGTGGCTCATTGGCCTGGGACGAGGTGCCGCGCGCCTTCGAGCGTTCATAGCAGCTGCCTGAGCGAAATGAGCGCGCTGTATCCTGGCGATGGTTTCGTCATCATCCTCACTGTCCACCACCTCCTCGTCCGACTCTTCCTCCTCATCTTGTACCTTGCCCTTCATTCTATTCTTCACTGAACTTGTGCCGCCGGCATCATCCATGACAATAAACTAATTTCTAATATCTCAGATTCACTAAAACCTATCGCAAGTCATCATTTTCACGCCTTATTTCATTCAATGAAATCTTGAAAACACTGTATTTTTGTTATGATCACAAGCTTATTTCATAAATGGAAATTTATTTTCTTACACACAAACAATCTTTTTCAGGATTGCTCTTTGTAGCACTTTTACAGGACGCGGCTTATATATCCATGGGAATAAGCCGGATGACACAATTATTCACATAGCGCTCCCGATCAGATTAAAAAATACAACTTATCGTCATATTTGATTTTAATTATCGTTAATAAAATAATGTCTGCAATTAAAATTTAGGAAGCCATTACTTCCGCAATAAATAGCCTATTCAACTATTCGTATAGAATTTGTGTATTCGACAAGCGTGTTTACAAAAATTGTGGATGGGCGATGCGTCACAAAACGTCACGAAGACTTTATTAGCGACGACTATTAAAGTGTTTAATTGCAAATTCTCTCGTGCCGAATGTCTGTGTAACTTTCATTACAGCATCTCGCTCTTGCCATTGAAAATGCATCCTTGTTGTACCAAAACAATGCGTTAAAAATTGTAACAGCAAATGTTTTTGATTGATGGCAACATTATTGATTTTCTTCACAGGGTTGACATATTTAATTTTGTAGTCTATGGAGTGGCATAAAGTCACAGAAGGTGGATGAAAAGTGTGGTCCAGGAGGTCGCAGCTTTAAAACTATTATTGAGAAAACGCTAGAAAAACATACTAAAAATGTTTATGGATATCGAACAAAAATA